TGAAGCGCAAGGTGCAAAATTTTACCTTCGCCTTGACTGCGCTCGAAAGCACCGGGGCACTGAGCAACAAATCCATGTCCGAAGATGAATTTCTAGGAAAGGCTTTTTCATCAGTCGTGCCGAAAGAGCTTGGCGGAAAACTCAAGAACGAACCACTCAAGGTTTCCACGTCAACCTCTTTGGCGGAAGGACTGAAATTGAAAGATAATGCGGGAAAGATTGCGCAAGTAAATGCTGCTCGGAAGAGAAAAGAAGCGATGGAAGACGTTGGCGCTGTCCGACTCTTCTTGAGCTCGATCGGTTTAAAGGGCATTAGCACCGATTTTAAGAATGTCATCAAGCTCAGCGAAACCGCTCTCGAGGAGGCAAAGCTGCGAATGACGCCCAAAATATCTGAATACCAATCGTACCAGGATAAGGCTTTCGGTGTGACGAAGTCGATGAACGAGGAAATCTCGACGAAGATGTTGAACCAGTATTACGAGGAAAATTCGGATGCACAAGAGACCCGGTTCGGCATGGACGAAGATGAAGAGTTTCACGGCCCGTGGGCCGCAAGGCTCCGTAACCAAGGCTCTCGAAAGAAACGTGGTCCTTCCGCCGTCGTGATCCCGGGAGTCATAATCACCAAGGATGGTGAAATGATACCTGAATACGACGAGACGATCAAGATCGAGAGATGCAAGTCCCGAGTACACAGATTCGTATCTCACGACTTGTTTGAAAACACTATCCTCGTACTCATCATGACAAGTAGCGTACTGCTCGCGACCGAGACGAATACCTGGCCCGTCGCCGGTTCTACCACGGCGAATGTGTACGAAAATATCGATATAGGTTTTACGACCGTTTTCGCGATGGAGTGCGCTCTGAAGATTTTCGCCTACGGTCTGTACAAGCGTCCGACGGCATACTTGAAGAATTCGTTTAACATTCTCGATGCCGTCGTAGTCTTGGGTTCCGCGTTTTCTTTAGTCATCGGCGACAGCGGCGGTAGTGCCGTGCGTACTCTGCGTATTTTACGTATTTTGCGACCTTTAAGATCGGTCAGACGGTTTCCAGGTGTTCGTCTTGTGGTGAACACAGTCATCTCATCCATCCCAGCGGTGAGTTACGTGTGCTTGCTGGGACTTGCCTCGATGTCCATTTTCGCTCTTCTTGGGATGGAATTCTTCATGGGAGAATTCTGGTCGTGCCGAGCAGTCGAAGATGCGAGGAGCTACACGACGCGAGGTGCGTGCGAAGCCGCCGGAGGTGTGTGGCGCAACGCAAAGTTCAACTTTGACAACTTCGGTGCGGCTCTTTTGAGTACGTTCATCTTGCACGCAGGCGACGATTGGCAGGAAATCATGTGGGTCGCCATGGATTCCACCGGTTATGGAACTGGTTACAAGCAAGATAATAACCAATCGGCCGCTGCGTATTTCGTCATCACCGTCTTGATCGGCAACTTTTTCTGGGTGAATTTGTTGGCGACCGCCCTCGTCGACAATTTCAACAAGATGGCGTCTCAGGACAAGCTCACTTTCGCGACTCCTGCGCAACGTCGCTGGCAACAAGCGATGATGCGCGCAGCCGCAGCAGATTTAGGCGCTTGGCGGAAGATCGTTCCGCCCCCTGGCAATGGCCTATGGTCTCGAGCTCGTTTGGCGGCGCATACAGTCGCCAAAGCCAAGACATTCTCGTTCTTCGTCGTCGGCGTCGTCACAGCGAATCTCATGACGGCGCTAGCGGAGACGGCTAACATGTCTCAGGCAGAAATAAATATTCACTACTATCTGAACACCACATTCACTATCATCTACGTATTAGAAATGGTGATACTGCTCATGGCGCAGGGTAAGAAGCGATATTTATTGACGTACTGGAACTGGCTGGATTCCTTCGTCGTCGTGGTATCCGTGGTCGACATCATCGGACAGAGTTTTGAAGTGGGCGGTATCATGGCGTATCTTAAGCTCGTGCGTCTGTTGAGATTGCTCAAACTAGTGAATGCGCACGCCGGTTTGCGTTCGCTGTTCACGACGTTCATAATGAGTATTCCGGCTGTGGCGAACGTAGCGGCGCTGTCGGCGTTGGCGATTTTTGCGTACGCAATCATGGGCGTCTCTCTGTTTGGCGATAAACGTGGGCCGTACGAGGGAGGTACGGTATCAAATTATTTCAACTTTGAGAGCTTCCCAACTGCGTTTGCGGCGTTGATGGGAGTCTACACTGGAGGTTGGGTCGGTACATTCGGCGAATTGTATCAAACGGAGGCATGCTTACGCGATGAACCGCCGTTCATGAGCGAGTCCAGCATCGATTGCGACTATAATTACATCGCCATTCCTTATTTCATCAGCTTTGTCGTGGTGTCGATATTTTTGCTCGGTAACTTGTTCGTGGCGATCATTCTTGAACGGTTCAGTGTCACGGCGGACCAAGAGGGTGTGTACGACGCAAGTGAGGTCATTGAAATCATCAAGCACACTATTCAACTTAGAAGGCTGTGCACGTCGATCAAGAGGAAAGTGACAAAAGCTCGTGAGCCAGGCGGTAAACTTCATGGACGCGGGCGTGACATGGACAAGGACGAGAGGCCGGGATCGATTTTCAACAAATTGATTCGTCGAGTGTCTAGGAGAAACTCGCGTTCAAGTCTGTCTGGCGATGGGTCCCCTAAAGAAGGCAAAGTGCGCGCGAACCGAAACAAACTGTCAAGTGATCAGCGAGAAGTCATCGAGATGAATGTTGAAGTCTCAGACGATGAACACTTCTTCTCGCCGGCGCCGTCTTATCGATCAAAGGAGCGCGTCAGCCCGTACTTTTCACTGGAACGCGAGCCGGAGCCAGAGGAGGAACCGAAAGACGAACCGGAAGACGCACCAGAACCCGCGGTGGAAGCCTCTACAATAGCCACAATTTTCGGCAAACGAGTGGGTGAGAATAGGTTCGGTAGACGCGCCTCGTCTGCAACGCAGTCGGCGACGGAGAGCGATGACTCGGAATTCGAGGCGGGAGACGAGGAATTTGAGGCCTACCCTTTCGAGCGGCGAACCGTGAGAGCGCGTCATCATCCGGGAATGAACACGCCAGCCGACGTCTTGAGTGAATTCGCGCACAGTGAACGCTCTGCCGGGTCGAGGTCCGTGGAATCTTACGACGACGAGCGAAGCGCCAGCGAAGACGATCATTCCGCGTACAACGATCAAAGCGGAACGTATACTTCGAGCGAGGAGGCGTACAGGTTCGGCGTCACGGGCGAGCGAACGACACCATCGAGGCTGAACGATTATCTCTACGATTTTCGAGATGATGTCACCCAACGACCACAGGCGGTCTCTTCGCTGTTGGGAAGCGACGACGGAGCCACGCTCGGATCTGAGAATGAGTCGGACAGTGACGACGAGCCTGGAGCGTCAAAGAGCGGCGTTTCAGCGGTATTGAATAGACTTTAGAGAATTGTAATAGCATTTGCTACGTTGAATCCGACAGTTCGTCATCCGGAATCGCTGTCTCGGTTGGCGCGGAAGGGCGCGCCTGTTTGTTCTCTGAGGGCGTCGGCGCGGCGGCTCGAGGCGTCCAATCATCTTGACGGCGCTCAAGTTTGCGTTTTTTAGCTCGCTCAGCCGCCACCGTGAGTACATCTTGGAACGCATCTACACTCATTTGTGTGGCGTGCTCTTCTTCTGCCCCTCGCTTCGTTCCTTTCGGCGCCCTGTGACCGACGCGAGTTGGATCCAACTTTTCCTCTGCGCGCAACGAAGCCGCCATGCTCACGTCGAACGAGTCCCTCAAGCCGTCGTGCAAAACATCCTTAATCCAGTTGCGCAGGGTCGACTGCTCTCGCTCTTGACGCGCGATGTGCGTATACACGTGCGCACGCTTGAAAGCCTCGCTCTTATCTCGATACTTTTCTAGCTCAAAGTTATCGTGCACCGAACCAAATTTGTCGTTATACGCCTTGTAAATGCACTCGCACAGGAACAACCCGAGCTCGGGCGCCATCGGGGTAGGCACGAACTGGTGCGACAAGATGGCAAACTTTTGATCGTCCTCATCGAGCGTCCCACGCATCACCGCGAGCATCGTCCCGATGAGCTTTCGAATTTGGTGCAGCATGAAGGACTGTCCGACGACTTCGCATCGCACAAACTCCTCGCCATCCACCTCAAACGGCTGAGAGCACTCAAAACTCAAGATGTATCGCTTCGCCTGCGCATCCGTCGGCTTCACCTTCACGGTGTAATTGTGAAAATTGTGCGTTCCACAGTAATTTCCCAGCACCCTCTCCACCCTACGACGCGTCTCCTCCGTAAACGTAAACTTTTCCTTCTCCGCGCCCTCGACGAACAAATTCGGGTCAAACGCCCACGTCGGTATCACGTACTCGTACTTCCTTCGATCGCACATCGTCTTCGCATTAAACCCCCCCCGTGACGCGATCGATTCCAAAAACCTCGAATCGCTCCGGCAGCGCTTCGTTTATCCGCGCCAACATTCCATCCGGCTCCATCACCATCTTCAGCGCGATGACCTGTCCGACCGCGCTCACCCCCTTATCCGTCCTCGCCGCCCGCGTCCACTGCACCTTTGCAAAATCACCCGCGTTCGCGTCCGATATCCCTCCCGCGCGCGCGATCGCTCCCTCCAGCTCGCCCTCGATCGTCCGCACGCCCGGATTCCTCTGCATTCCGGCGTACCCCGCCCCGACGTACGCGAACGTCAGCGCGCACTTCCGCTTCTTGTTCGGATTACTCGGTGGAAGTTTATTCAGCGCGCGCTCGGGCGCGTCGACCGTCGACGGCGCCGTCGCCTCGGGCGCGACGTCGTCCACGACGTCCGTCGCGTCGTCCGCCGCCATGGCGCCCGAGGCGACGCGCGCGAGCGCCCCGCGCGCGCGCGACGAGCGATCGGACGCGCGCGCGCGCGCGCGCGCGTCGGAGATTTTTTGCCCGCCGTTCCGCGGCGTCGCGGGCGCGGAGACGCGGGCGCGGGGGCGATGACGTCGCGGCGACGGATGGCGTTTCGCGTCGACGTCCGTCGCGTCATCCGCATTCCTCGCCGGGACGTCCGCGCGCGGGATGTTCGGGGGTAAAGACGCGCGCGCGACGCGAGTGATAATCGTGGGCGGCGGTGCCGCGGGCGCGGCGGCGGCGTACGCGCTCGCGCGGGCGGGAATCGAGGCGGAGGTGCTCGAGCGCGAGCGCGCGCTCGGTGGCGTCGCGACGACGACGACGCTCGACGCGTGGTCGACGACGATCAACGATGGGGTGCAGGGAGGGGCGACGTCGTACGCGAACGCGCGGGCGCTCATGCGAAGCTGCGGCGTGGACGAGGGGTCGCGGGTGGAGGTGCGCGTGAGCTTTGGCAAGGGCGCGACGGCGTGGCGCAACCACGGCGCGCGCGCGAGCGTTTTGGAGGAGCTGCGAGAGGACATCGAGCGGTTCGGGAAGACGCTGAAGAAGATTAAGCGATTCGAGGCGCTGTACGCGTTCGTGAGCGTGGAGCGGGCGTTGAGGTGGCACGGGCACTCGAAGCGGTTTCGGGATTACATGGTGTACGCGACGACGGCGCTCTTCTTCGGCACGGGGAACTGTACTCGGGACGTGTGCAGCGTCGTCTTGGCCCGAGTGTTTACGGATGATCGTTTGAGGTTGTATGATTACGATCCGGTGCGTTTCATGCGGGAAGCGCCGGAGATGTTTGCGTTTCCGAGGTTCGACGAGATGTACGGAGCCATCGGCGATGAAATCGTGAGGCGCGGCGGGAAGGTGACGCTCGGCGCGCGCGTGCACAAGGTGGAGCGCACGAAGAAGTGCGTGAAGGTTTCGTTCGAGAACGCAACTGGAGAGACGGAAACGCGCGTGTGCGATCGAGTGATCTTCGCGTGCAACTCGGAGCAGGCGAAGGCGATGCTCGACGCGGGCACCGGAACATCCGCGATGGAGCGTCATATTTTTAAGAACATCACATGGTTCGACGACGTATCCGTCACACACACGGACGAGGAGTACATGAAGAAGCATTACGAGGTCGCCGAGGGTGAAAAGCGCGACATGTACTTCATCAAATCGTATGAGGACGATCCGTCTCTGTGCGAGATGTCTTTCGATTTGACGGCGTACCAACCGTTCGCCAGAGGTCCGGACGGCGCGCGGGTGTACCAATCCATCTTCCTAAACGCCGCTCGAGACGAGTCTCGATGGACTAAGAATGAGATCGCCCCAGGGAAAATCGCCCTAGTGAAGTGGTGGCGTCAGTTCGGGCACACCGTGCGCCATTTCACGCGCGCCGTCCCGTTCTGGCGCTTCGTTCAGAACAAAAAGCGCACGCTCTACGCCGGATCGTACACCATGGTGAATACGCACGAGATCGCCGTTATCTCCGGACTCGTCGCCGCGTACAGATGCGGCGCGCCGTATCCGTTCGCCGACGACGCCCAGGCATCCTTCCAATTCGACCTGTACGCGAGCATCATCCACGGCATCCGCCGCAAGCGATGACCTCAACCATCGCGCGCCGCTTATTACTTCTAATCCAGAGTCGTCATCGCCGGCCATTACTCGCACCGTGCGCGCGCTTAGACATTCACATTATTTTCATTCATTAACACGCAATCGCTTTTCAATCGGCCGAGCGCACGCATCGATTTCGAACGTCCGCGCGCGACGCGTCGCGCCGACGCGCGTACGCCACCCGCGCCCCCCAGTGGCGTCTCACACCCAGCCTCCCATCGCTCGCGTCGATGTCCACCGTCCACCACGTCGCGAAAACCATCTCGAGCGCTCGAACGAGACGCACCGCGCGCGGCGAGCGCGGCGGCGGCGTGGCGCGCGCGAGAAGCGCTCGAGAGATCGGCAGAAAACAAGAGTTCGCGTGGAAATCTCTCTCGAACGCGCGCGACGACGTCTCCGAGACGGGCTCGACGCGCAGCGAAATCGCTGCGTCAGTGTTCTCGACCATGTGCGCGGTCGCGTGCGCGAGCGCGCTGGCGATGACGATGGACGCGTCCCCGGCGCTCGCGATTCCGCAAACGAGCGAGTGCGCGACGAACTCGTGCGACGACCGAGATTATCACGGGCAAAAGTTGGCCGGGACGGGGGCATTTTTCACCAAAGGGTCGCTGAAGCGAGCTAACTTTGACGGGGCGAACCTGGAGGGGATCACGTTCTTCGGGGCGGATCTCACGGGTGCGACGTTTCGAGGGGCGAATCTGCAAAACGCGAATCTCGGGCAGGCGAATCTGTCGAAAGCGGATCTCACGGATGCCATTCTGAGCGGGGCTATCGTGAGCTCCGCGCAGTTTGACGATGTGAAGATCGAAGGGAGCGATTGGAGCGAGGTCATCGTGCGCAAGGTGAGTTACTTCGCGGCGTGACGTCGCGTCGAGCGAGCGCGAGGCGAAGGACGACACGACTGACGATTTGTTTTGTGTCGCGTATCAGGATATTCTGACGGGGCTGTGCAAAGTGGCAAAGGGAGAAAATCCCGTCACCGGGCTTCCGACGGAGTTGACGTTGATGTGCCCGTAAGGCTGCTACGTCTTGTACAACAATGACGCGAGCTCACACGAACGACGAAAGGATCGGAGTACTAGCACCATACAGGTCATCAAAACCGAAGCATCAGAAGACCGTCGTGAAACAATGGTATTTCGTCATTTCCTTGCTCATCGCTCGCTCGCTCGTCGATTTATATTCGTTCGCTAGGCTGTTTGTAACGCTGCGCGCAGATTTTTCACCGTCAGTACCGCTGAACGCGACGAACCGATCGAAGAGCGAATCCGAGAGAAAAAAACAGGCGTGGCTGCGGTTGTAAGCCTCAGACAGCGGCGTAACCGCGTGGTTTGTGCCAAGCCGAGAACGCATTCTCATGCGCCGCTCGCGGGGAAGGTTCGTCTGGAAATCCAGATTCCCCGACGACGCACTGCACCGCACAGAAAAAAGCTGCATCATCGGCTCCGCCGCCGCGAGTTTCCGAACGAAGGACGAATGCTCAGAGAAAGGAGAAGTCGTTTTTGTTATCGTGTTTAGCGCACAGGCCGAAACCTACTAACAAACAGCCTCGAGATTTTTAATCATCGCAATCGTCGATTCGTCGTCCCCTCCTTCGCCAGTCCAAAAACCAAAGAAATGCAAAGGGATTCCCACGCACCTATCAATGTTTCTACTAATTTACACGAGTTTAAATCCACAGGTTATCACACGCGGATATCGCTGCGAGGGAGAAATCCAGAGCGCGCGGTGAGTCTCAAAGCGCTCAGAGATGTGAAGAAAAAGAGGTGGAGAAGTATAAGCCCGGTTTCCAGAGCAAACTGCATGGGGCACAGGGTAGTAAGTCCCATTCCCGCGGTCGCTCAGAATGCGAGCTCGTTACTGTACGGGTTGATTAACGCCGAAGACGAACGGAATGTCGCCCTCGGCTGCCTGAAGTAACAGCCCGCAAACCACTCGGCGACGCGCGACGAAATGGCGCTTGAAAAAGTCATCTTTGAGATGTCTGGCCTCTGTGTATTCACGCGCGGTGAGCGGCGAGCAAACATAGCGAGAGACCAGTTGCATGACCGAACCCGAAGCTTCGATTCAACGGGCCGACCTATCGATGTAGCTTCAAGGGAACGGGGCAAGAGCACACTGACGGAGTAAAATGCCCAACTTAACGAAGCAAAGTACCGCATCAAAGACGACGATGCGGGCTCGAAACGCCCACGAACAGATCAGAAGCGGGTTGTCACACCCGATGTTTTTCGCCTCATGACAGTTGGGTCGATCGAAAACACGGACCATCAACTTCCTCATCTCCATTCGTCGCGAATCACATCCACGCCTCGTTGCGTTCCAAACAAAAAATAAATAAAAGAAATCGATCGACGAGTTCGATTGCCCAATGCGCACGGATCAGATAATACTGGCAAGTATAGCCGGTGGCACCGGCCTTCTATATGCTTTTCATCTTCGATCAATTGGGGAAAGAGAAGTCCTCATTTCCGAACGCTTTGAACTCGATACTCGCCCTTCGGCGAAGAAGAGAAAAACATACGAACGATCCATCGACGCACCTCGTCCACTCGCGCGCGTCCCAGTGCGCGCATCCACGACGATCTACGATGAGTGCGGAGACACCAAAAGATTCGTCAGTAACGCGCGATGCAAAAAGATTTCTCTCCACCCGTCCGCCGCCGCCGCCGCCGTCGAATACGTCGCTCAGACAAAAGTCGTGTAGTTTGGAACAAGTTTTCTTCAAGGCCGAGGCTCAAAGCGAGCTGGGTTAATAGCGTTCGATCTTCCTCGCGAGCGTCCTTCTTCTTCAACGACGGCGGCCGTTCCCCCGCGCGCGCGTCTCCGCCGCCCGCCGCGCCTCCAGCCCTTCGCGGGTCAAACCAATCCATCCCCGCGTGCACCTCTTCCCGAGCGATCCGATCGCGCCTGAGCGCGACATTCATGCGTAACCAATCACCACGGACGCCGAAACGTCGTCTGACTGGGGCGGCAGTGCGTGTCGTCACGCCGCTCGAGGTTTTCCGTGCGGGACCGAATGCCCTCGCGCCGCCGGCCCGTCGCGATCACGCGCGCGTCGCCTCGCGCACCTCCCAAGACGCCGCTTCGCCCGATCCACGCGCGGCGCACCGCGCGGGTAAAATTCCATCGTCGCCTCGTCGCCCCGGTTCGCGCGCGCGTCGATCGCGCGAGCCGGGGCGACGAGGAATGCGGCGACGGCGCAGCACGCGCGCACCGCGACGACCACCGCGCGTCGACACATCATGACGCCGAGCGCGCGACACATCGAGCGACGGGGGACCAACGTCGCGATCGCGGGTGGGTTACTCGCGTTTTGTCTCGGGACGTACGCGTACACCATGCGCAAGGTTCGCACGGACGAGGTGGACGACGAACTCGATCGACGCGCGGGGAAAGGGGCGCGATGAGGCGCGATGGGATGACGCGCGTGCTGGGCGGTGCGTCGTCGCGTGGGACGACGTGCGCGAGACCCGCGGGCGTGGGGGATGGAACACGCGCGGGGGGGGTGGGTGCGGCGCGCGAGGGGGCGGCGCGCGCGAGGGGGGTGTGTTTTATGTAGTAGCGCTGTGATTTTAGATGTCTCTTCTGTTTCCCGCGACGCGTCCGCGCGCGTTCGTCGCGTCGACGGTTCGATCGAATGATGACCAAAGGCTTCGGTAGGTGTGAAGTCTTACAATCGTCGTCTTTTTACCTCGCGATTCTGTGCTAAAATGGGCCTAGTGCTCTCACTCTCGAGTGTCAACCGCCTCCGCGCCGTGACAAATACAATGAATGTGTTCCACGCGTCTCTTCGTCGCGTGTTGATGCGCGCTTAATCCTCGCGCTCGGCCATCTTGAGCGTGATGCTCGCCGTGCGCTTACGGATAGAGAACGGACGACCTTGCGAACGCGGCGTGAAACGCTTCATCGTCGCCGATCCGTCGGCGTAGCACTCCGAGACGTAGAGCTTCGCCTTGTTCATCCCCATGTTGTTCTTCGCGTTGGCCGCGCACGAGAAGAGCGCGTTGAGGATCGGTTCGCACGATCGGTACGGCATGAACTCGAGCATGATCAAGCACTCCTCGTAGCTCTTCCCGCGGATGCAATCCAACACTCTGCGAATCTTCGACGCCGACATGCGCACGCCGCGCACGTAGCACACCGCCTCCTTCTTTTCAACCTCGACCTGTCAATCACGCGCACACGCGTCGCGCATCGTCAGTCTCGTGTCCACGCACGTCTTCACGTAAACCCATCCCCGCATCCCGCACCGAGCGCGTCCCGCGCCGCGACCCGTCTCGCGGATAGAGCCAAACCCTCACATCCCCATCGACGTCATCGCGAACCCACCCCCATGCGCGCGCCCGCCCCCGCCCCCCCCGGACCCCCTCGAACACGGCCGACGATCAATCCCCGCGCCCGTCCACCGCGCCGCGCCGCCCAACCCCCCCCCGCGCGCGCCTCAACGTCCACCCATCCCCCGACCGCTTCAGGGTTTCACGCGGCGCCCCTCTCGCCG